TACTTGGATCCAGCAAGTCAAGAGCTCAAAAGACATGTTGCATTAGGTAAATCTGCTGCACAAGACCTCTTTAGAGTATGGAAGAGCAAAGATGTTACATTTGGGACTAAGGTGCACCTGACCTAAGCCATGTATTCTGCATGGCATCATATGCATGTGAAAGTTGGACACCGTACAAGGAAAACTGTAGAAAAATTGATGCTTTTGAATTGGTGTGCTAAAGAAAAATAGTGAAAGTACCATGCTAAAAGGACAAACTGATCTTTGTTGGGAAAAGTCAGGCCAGAGTGCTCCTTAGAGTCAAGGATGGCAAGACTTCGTCTTACGTACTTTGGACATATTGTCCGGAGAGGCTAGTTTCTGGAGTAGGACGCCTTGTTGAGTAAAGTGGAAGGTCAGAGAAACAGAGGAAGGCCCTCAAGGAGATGGATTGGCAGTGGCTGCAGCAGTGGGCTCAGACACAGACACGACTGTGAGGAGGGCGCAGGACTGTGCAGGGTTTCATTCTGTTGTGCACGGGCTCACTGTAGATCGGAGCCCACTCCATGGTGGCCCCACCACGAACAATGACAAAACATGTGCCCCCCTCCCATGCTGCGCAAGAGGTCGAGACAGTCACACAGGTGTCCACATCTACCCAGAACTGCATCCAGCAAACCCACAACACTGCCGGCAAATCTTTGGGGATGTGACCACCACAACAGAATGGGAACAACTTATAATGGGCCATGAGGGAAATTAAACTAAACATTAGTACAACACATTCCACATGCCCACCATTTCATTTTTCTTATCTCTTTTATTGTCATGTCTACACACTCTATTCCCATTTCCCTGAAACTGTTTTAGCTGAGGGAGCCTGTGCCATGTATGAGCTGTAGCATCCTCCTAATGCAACCCTCACCACTTCCTTCCATAAGTGCCCACGTTCATGCTGACAGGTACGGCAGAGTGCCGCCTCTTCTCTGAAGAAGCCCACACAAGAGCAGAAAATGCAACTTGACATTTTCAATCAAACCTTGACTTT